GCTTTATTTCTGACTTTTGTTTCTACTCCATCCTTTTCTTAAAAAAATTTTTTAAATGTTTATTTATTTTTGAGATACAGAGACAAAGCACAAGCAGGTGGGGGTCGGGCAGAAGAGAGAGGGAGACACAGAATCCAAAGCAGGATCCATGCTCTGAGCTGTCAGCACAGAGCCAGATGTGGGGCTAGAACCCATAACTGTAAGATCATGACCTGAGCCAAAGTCGGCGCTTAACCGACTGAGCCACCCAGGCACCCCAACCCATCCTTTTATTTTCAACTTCCAATCCCCAAAATACCACCAGCATACATCAGAATCTCAGAGTCCATTTAGGACGTCACCAAAGGTGGTATGTGACCGTCACTCAACCTTTAGAATGGACTGTTTTCCTCTGATACCATAATATATCCAGAAGGTTTTTTTTTTTTAACACCTGATTTGTTTCTTTACAATACTTTCAACTTCAGTCTTACATTTTAAAAAGTTTTGAGCAGTTATTCGTGTCACTTTCTTTAAGTATGTTCCTGTTGTATTTATTTATCTCCTCATGCGACTCTTATTAGACCAAATTATATTGTGACATGCTCTCATATCATCTCTCAGCCATTTTCTCCTCCTTCTTTCTGTGTCTTCTGAACTTTATGTAACAGGACTACAAATGTCCTTGGTCTGATCCAACTCATTAACATGCACTCAGCTTTATTTATTCTGCTATTCAGCTCATCCCCTGACTGCTTTATAGCAACTGCTTTATTTTTTAAAACAATTAGTTTTTTTCTTATAACTGAATATCCAACTTCATATTTCCAGTATCTTTCATTAAGTCTCTGGGGACATTTTATCACTCCTCTCAAAGTAGGATATTTTGGTTTGATAACTTTTACTATGATATTCTTTTTTCTATTTCATTGATCCTGTTATATTGTTTGTTTCTTTTCCTTATTTTAGGTTAAATTTATTCTTCTTTATGTTGTTGTTTTTAGTGGTTGAATTTGGTCATTGTTTGCAGGTGTAGTGTTTCAAAAATAAGAATTTCATGCTACATATGTGTGTCCAGTAGAATTGACTCATGAACAAATGGATTTAAAGTGTGGGGACGTCCTTTATGGGGATTTTTTTTTTCAATAAATGAAATATAACACTATAAATGTATTTTCTCTCTTTTTTATTTTGTTAACATTTTCTTTTCTCTAGCTCAGTTTATTGTAAGAATAGAGTATATTATACATAACATACAAAATGTGAGTTGGTTGATTGATTAGGTTATTGGCAAGTCTTCCAGTCACAATAGGCTATTAGTTGATAATATTAGTTGATATTAGTTAATCTTAGTTGATAAGTTTTTGGAGAGTCAGAATTTATACCTGAATGTTTTACTATGTGGAGGATGGACACCTCTAACCCTGACAGTGTTCAAGGGTCAGCGTTATTGCATTAGTGGCATTTTAAAAATTTCACACGTTGTAGTTTAATTATTTTTTAGTTCAAAATTCTTTTGCCTCTTTATTTGGATTTCTTTCTCTCGTGGATTATTTAGAAGTGTCTTTTTAAGTTTTCAAATATTTTGGTCTTATTTTAGAGATCACTTCATATTGATATCTAATTTCATTCCACTATAGTCAGAAAATATATGCTGCATGAATTCTTTTACGTGTACTGGAATTTGTATGATGGCCCAGAATATGACCTATTTTGGTAAATGTTCAGTGTGTTTGAAATATTGTATATTCTGCTGTTGTGTTTGGCTTTGAAACTCATCTTTTCTGGTATTACAATATTCATTCCAGTTTTCTTTCTTTTTTTAATTTTTAGTTTTAATTCCAGTATTGTTAACATACGGTGTTGTATTAGCGTCAGGTGTACATACAGTGATTCAGCAATTTTACACATTGCTCAGTGCTCATTTTGATAAGTGTACTCTTTAAATTTTAAAATCTTTATTTTATGTTTTTATTTTTTGTTTTATTTATTTATTTTGAGAGGGAGTGAGCGCGCGTGCGCGCGTGCGCGAGAGAGAGCTTGAAGTGCACAAGTGCATGAGTGGGGGGAAGGGCAGAGAGAGAGGGACTGAAAGCAGTCCTAAACAGGCTCCCATGGTCAGTGTGGAGCCCGATGTAGGGTCAGACTCAGGAATCCTGAGATCATGACCTGAGCCAAAATCAAGAGTGGGCTGCTTACATGACTGAGCCACCCAGGTACCTTGGGATAAATGTACTCTTAATCCCCATCACCTCTTTCACCCATCCCCCCCCCCCCCCCCCCCAAGGCCCCTCTGGTAACCATCAGTTTGTTTTCTATAGTTCAGAGTCTGTTTCTTGGTTTGTTTCTTTTTTCTTTTGATTGGTGTTGTTATTAGTGCTGTATATTTTCCCATCCTTTCACTTTTAACATGTTTGTTTTTGTATGAGGTGCATTTAATGTGAGCAGTGCTTAAATGAGTTGTTTTTTTCTCCTTGGTCTGACTATTTCTGCCTTTTAATTGGGTATTTAGTTCATTTATACTTATTTTGAATCATGGGTGTGGTTGGGTTCAAATGTATCGTTTTGGCTTTCTCTTTTTCTTTTCTCCTCTTTTTCTCTTTTTTTTGGGGGGATTATTCTTTAAAACATTTCATTCTATCTTCTTTTCTTATGAGTTTTAACTATTTTGGAGGCTTGCTTTAGAGACTTAGAGATTAGATTGATTTAGAGATTTAGAGATTATAGTTCACATCTCTAATTACAGTCTATCTTCAAGGGATAATATATTATTTTGTGTATTATGTAATAACTTAACAGTGATCTAATTCCTTCCTGGCTTATGCTATTATTTTCACACATTGTACTTTTTTGTATGTTATAAATTAAATACTTCATTGTTATTATTTTTGCAACAAGCAAGTAAAGGCATTTAAGTAATAAAATAACCTTACATATTTACCCATGTAGTAACAAATTCTAATGCTTTTCATTCCTTTGTTTAGATCTATATTTACATCTGATAATATTTTCCTTCTGGATAAAGAAACTTTACAAATGTTGGTAGTGTGAGCCTGCTATAGAAAAATTATTCTGTTTTTTTTTTTGTTTAAAAAAAGCATTTATCTGTTTTAAGAGTATTACTGAGAGATACAGAATTCTATCTTAACAAGATTTTTCTTTCAGTTTTAAGATATTGCTCTATTGTCTTCTTACTTGCATTGTTTCTGATAAGATCTGCTGTCATCCTAAATTTAGACAATTGTGATGTGTCTTTTTAAAAAATGTTTATCTGTTTTTGAGAGACCGAGAGAGAGAGAGAGAGAGAGAGAGAGAGAGAGAGAGGAGAGAGAGAGCATGAGAGGGAGTGGGACGGGGGCAGAGAGAGAGGGAAACAGAGGATCTCAAGCAGGCTATGGGCTGATAGCAAAGAGCCAGATGCAGGGCTTTAACCCATGAATGGCAATAGAACTGAGCCCACGCTTAACCAACCAAGCCACCCAGGCACCAATGTGATGTGTCTTTTGATATGGATTTACATTGTTTTCCTTTATCATTTCTTCTGAGCAGTTTGATTATGATGTACCCCTAGTAAAGTTATATTCATTTTTCTTATTTTTGGGTTTCATTGAGCTTCTTGGAACTCTGGGTTTATAATTTTTATCAGATTTGGAAACTTACAGCCATAATTTTTTCAAATATATTTTATGTCCTCTCTTTTGTTAAGATGGTGCCTTGAAACTACAAAAATATCTTTATGTATACTGACAGAACAATGATACATACGTAAGAATTATTTCTCTACCCGTTGTTCTAACTTTTCATTGATAAACCCTTACATTTTATAATGGGACCACATGGGCCCATACATTTTGTAATGCATTTTACACACTAAGTTGTTAATATACACAGGGGCCCCATACTTCTACAGGTAACCTTGAATAAAGTTGACTGTAGCTTCTTAATTGATCACAATCTATTTTGAAGTGCTTTCTTCTGGGATTCTCTTATATTTTCTTCTCATCCACTGACCACTACTTCATGTTTTCTCCATGTTAATCTCTTGATACCAGAAGGTAAGGATGATATGGGGTCTTTTTGTTGTGCTTTCTTATGTTCTTATTCTATATTCTTTCCTTTGGCCATTCCATCTACTCCCATGGCTTCAATGAGGATCTGTGGTCTATCCCAAGTGCACATCTTTATTTCTTCCAAGGGTACATCTTACTTGAGTATGAAACCTATAAGTACAAGTATTTATTATACACTTCCACTTGAATATCCCATGTGTATTCAAATTCAAAGTTCCTAAAAATATACTTTTGCTCTTAAGGCTAAGCCCCTACCTGCCCTATGGAGATGTTCCATACAATGCTCAGATCATGGAATGTGGCATGAAATAGGGTCTCCCTCACACATGATACCTAATACAAAAACTCATATAGAAAACAGACCATATCTGAATTATATTCCTAGGAACTAGCCTACATTCAATTATTTCTCCAACATTTATTAAACCATCAATTCACAAATATCATGGGTCTATACCATATGCCAAACACTGTTTGGGCTGGAGATACATCAGGCAAAAATTCTTGCCCTGGTGCTCCTTAAATGTTAGTGAATGTAGGCTGACTAAACAAGTTGATGAACTTTTATGGTCATTAGATAGTGATAAATTCTGTGCAGAACAGGGAAACAGAGAAGATGTTGGGACATATTCTGTGCTTTAGGGGAATATTGTTAGGTATTAAACACTGTGGTCATAGAGACCCATTGGACCTGAGGGAAGGAGCTATGTAGACAGAGGAACAATAAGCAAATAGTTCCAGAGACGGAACTGTGGTTCATGTTTTTGAGAAGCTGTTAGGGAGGCAGTTCTGACCAAAGGACTTGAGGACAAAGTCAGGTAGGGAAAGGAGGGCCATATCCTTAGTCTCTTCAGAAAACCATGGTGGGTAAGAAGTGTGATGTGACTGTGGGTAAAGGGAAACCATATAGTTTTTATCATCAGGCATGCCCCAATGAGAAGATTAGGACTATTTCTATCTCCCTGTCCCTGCCTTCTGATTGTAGTTTTGAGAAGAGCCAGGCAAGAGCATGATTACTTTCTGTTCTCTCTTGCCCTTCTCAGTAATTTCCTAATCCCCTCTTTAATCTCCTGAGTTCGTATCCCATAGACAATGGGGTTGAGAGCTGCAGGAATTACATGGTGTAACACATTAAGTAAGACAGGGATATCAGGGGAAATTTTTTTCTTGGCAATGTGGGTAAAAACAAAAACCAGCAGGATGGTGCTGAAGAAGAGGATGAGGATGAAGTGAGAGCCACAAGTGCTCAGAGCTTTGGCAGCTGCCCCTTTTGTCTTAAGTCTAAGAACGGCTCGTAGGATGATGGTATAGGAGAAGATGATGAGGGTCAGGTCAGAGCCCAGAAGAGTCCAGGCCACAGTTAACTGGAAAATTCTGTTAAGGGCAATATTATCACAGGAGAGCTTGGACACAGAGAGATTGGCACAGATACAATTATCAATTATATTTTTTCCACAATAATGGAGCCGGGCAGAGAGGATGGGAATGAATATAGTAAGAAGTGCATTTCTGGCCAAAGTAAAAATGGCAGCTTTGGCTACGAAATGGTCAGTGATGATGGATGGATACCTCAGTGGGTGGCAGATGGCTACATA